AGATGAGATTTTAAAAGGTGTTAAAGTTATGCCAAAGTATTTGCTTGAAGGACATAGCGGCCTATTTGATATATTTGATATATGCCGCAGAAGCATAGACAATGACAACTCCTGTCGAAGTGACCCTTACTCGAGTGCTCGAGAAAAATATTTTGCGGAAAATGTCCGGACTTTAGTGCGTTGGCGACGGCAAATACCGAAGATAATAGAACAATTAAAAGACAAGCGCAAATCAAGCTAGATCAAGTGCAGGTAGAAACACCGGGTGAGACAAATGAAATACTCAAGAATTCAAATGTTTTCATAATTCAATCTGCTGGGCGCGAAAAAATATAGCTCTGGCAAATGTTTTAAATCTGGAAAGCCGAGCCACTTTGCCCGCGATTGCAGCGAAGGTTCCAGTGAGCAGGACGCACGCGAAAGATGGGCTCATCTACACCAGTCAGTCGTTAAACTAAAACGAGCCAGCTTGTATGCCCCAAAATTTCCGTCTCAGAAATAGGCAAGAAAGCGAGCAACGTCACTGTGGGCGGAGAAGAGCGAGTGGCGTAAGGCGATTTCTGGAGCAAGGTTGAGGACACCCAGGTTGTAGGAGAAATAACATGCAAAGTCGCCATAGGATATGTGGCGGTGTTACACAAGTTCATAGTTGCGGAGATTGTGGATGAAGTCATCAGAGGAGTAGACTTCTGGCTTGGCCAAGGCATCAAGATCGATATGGAGAACAGAATCATGAAGTACAACAACATGAAAGTATCATTTGCCTTTTGGTTCGATGGCCAGCAGCCAGCGAGTGATCCTAGAGGAAAGCGAACAGAGTTCACCGAAGTCAGAAGCAGTTGTTTGGGCGAAGATTGATGGAGATTGTGTGACAAACAAATTGTGGGTTGTTGAAGTAACACAAAATTCTACACCGGACGTACTTATAGATGAAACCCTAGTTAAGACGCAAAAAGGTGAACACATTCCAGTTTGAGTACTAAATGAGATCAAGTCACCAATTGAACTCCTAAGAGGAACTGTACTGGGTCAATGTTTAGAGGTAGAGGTAATCTTCAACTGCGAAAAATTACCTAAAAGCGATTACACTGGCGAGAATGGCATTGCGGAAGACATCAATGCATGGACGGAAGGGTTGGAAGCAAAATACCAGCACCAGGCTAAGGAACTTCTCCGCAGATACTCCAACATATTCGACACAGACGGCAACAAACCTGGCAGGACTTGCGTTGTGAAACTCGGCATTGATGCTGGTGATGCAAGGCCAATGCGTCAAGCTCTTCGGAGTGTTCCACTTGCCAAACGTGAAGCTGTAAGCCAAATAATAAAAGAAATAAGTGAGAGTGGTGTGATTGGACTATCAGCGAGTCCGTGGAGTTCGCCGGTAGTACTTGTAAAGAGGAAAGTTGGTCAAACGCGATTCTACATAGACTACCGGAAACTAAATGATGTGATAAAGGACAGCTATCCACTGCAAGAATCGAAGATACTCTCGGCTCGTTGAGTGACACGAAATGGTTCTCAACGCTCGACCTTAAGAGCGGTTATCAGAAAGTGGCGGTAAGTAAGGAAGACAAGAAGACAGCCTGGCCTATGCAACGCTCTCGCCGCTTTTAAAAGAATTATGGACCATGTGCCGAAAGGACTGCTTTGAGGGACATCTTAAGAATTTGGACGATGTTTCCTAGAGGATAGCTGGCGCTGATCTAAAACTACATACGACACAAGGTACCAACGGAGTGTGCTGCACTGCGAAGGAAAAAATGGAAGCAGTAAAGGATGCACGAACTACGAAGTTTTCTTGGGCTATGCACTTACTACCCTCGATGTGTTCCGAATTTCGCCAGCGTTGCTAATAGCCTCCACGAGCTCACTAGGAAAAATAGAGCCTTCGAGTGGAACAAGTGCCACGGAACGCTATATACTGCACCTATGCTAGCGTATGCCGTTCCAGGTGCAACATTTACTTTGGATACGTATTCTAGTGGTTATGCCATAGGAGGCGTACTGTCGCAAGTAATTGATAGGTAGGAAAAAGTAGTTTCCTACTATAGCCGGTCGGTTATAAAACCAGAGAGGAACTACTGCGTAACTCGGAGAGAACTACTATCTATCTATCAAACATTTCCATAAGTACCTCTATTGGCAAGTACCAAAAATACAGGATTGAGAGACTGCAAAGCTATTACTTTGCTATTGAGTACCGTAAAGGAAATATCCGCAAAAATGCTGATGCCATGTCCCGACGACTATGCGGCTTGGAATGTAAGCACTGTTCAAAATCTGGGCCCAAAGAAGACATTATAGATGTCCGGCTAATGACAGTAACACCAGCGGCAAAGTGGAAACCCAGAGAGAGATGCTTCGGCCCTGAAAGTATAAAACTCTGAATCCACTGTTGATAGCAAAGGAATAGGAAGGACCCCGCTGCAATGGGAATACCAGTCGTGAGAAGTACTTGGCTTCACTTAGCATTTCCAACTGGCGCCAGTTGCAGAGATTTTTAAATAGTGCTTCGAACTTGGCAATCATAGGAATAATGTCCCCTGAGAATAGGCCCGAGCAAACACGACACCCGACGTTGCATTTCGACTTTTAGAAGCTGAGGAAAGAAACAAACTGGGCTTGTTAGCTTCAGCTTCTAAAAGCGCGTTTCTAAAATTCTGTTACGGATTCTTTCCAAAATATTTTCTGCATCTTCTCTTTAGGCTGCCCACTATGCTCCGAAGTCTTCACAGTTTTATGTGCTGTTCAAGTTATGGAATGGGTCTTGAAACTTCTTTTACGAATTAGTTACTCGGCAAGGAAGTTTCCAAAATCAAAGATTGCTTCAAATACTTGATGTGGCCTGCTGAAGATACTAAAAGATTTCACTAACCTCTATTGAAAAAGTTTGCTGCAAATACTTATTTATTTGCTAAAAACGTATTCCGACCCAAAACCATTTGTTACCATCCCAACATTGTTGCAGGTCTTACGGACCTTTATTGGGTCAGGTTACAATCTTTTGGGCCATTTGATTCATGAAATCAGCGCCACATGGTTGCAGGTCATACGGAGCTTCGTGGAGGAAAACCACATCGACATATTGACCGAAAAAATATATATATATACATATGTATATCCGCACAGCTTGGAATTTAACAAAACGCTTCTTTATTCTTCACTCTCCAATCAAACTGCTCTATCAACATCTTGATTTACAAGTTCAAACTGTGGGCGGGCAGCAAAATGTAGTTGCTTGATAGCCTCAATTACGTCGTGTTAAAAAGCGCAAATTTTTTCATTCATTAAAATCACGACAAACACGCAAGAGCACAATCATTCAGACAATTTTGTTGTCTACTCCACTACATTCTTTCAAACGCACTCAGCGCTGCCAGATGTGCGGATTTTCCGTGCGGTACGGATTTTCAGGGATGAAAATGGTTGTACGGATTTTTAGCCTTTGGTCAAGATGTACAGATTTTTGTACGGATTTTTGTAGTGTTTTTTTTTTCATATAATACAAATTTTCCTGTTTGACGTTATTTTCGTAATTGAGGGATTTGCCTATTAACAGCTAAACTATTTCTCACCCGATTTCAAAAATCAAACATGAGAAGAGGATTTGTAGACCTTTAAAATTATGTATAACAATCTATTGGTAGACTTCGATTGTTTCGAGTTTTTGTTGCGTAAAGTTAAAAAAAATTTAATTTTCTTTATTTTTTCAACTTAAACCATCGTTTCAAACATTAAACTGTTACCCGGTAGGGTCGACAAATTGAATGAAAAGTGGTGTTACATTTTTAACCCACCACTTTTTGTCTGTGTACGGATTTTAGACTCCAAACGTCTGGCAGCCCTGAACGCTCTCAATCTCGCACACATGCCAACGTCTATTTCACGTTGAGAATGATTGCTATCCATGTTTAGCCTGCTCACTGCCCCACGCCCAGCCCACTCCCACTCTAGCGAAATAGTGGGCAGTAGCGGCGCCTTCAGTTGAGTTCTGCAGATACCAGATCTCAAAGTAAGCGGTAGAGCGAGATTCGTGGTATGAATGTATGTATTACTATTATAATGGGTTGTTTAAGAGCGTTCGATATAAAGGTTTTCCCTCCAAAGCAGCTGTATTATCAACACATTGCCATATTTTCTCTAATTCTTTGATCCCTCCTCTATTTTCGATCAATTCGTTGTCTACTTTCTTTATTCCCGTTTTTCTCTAATCCGTACTCGCTATTCACTTACAAATGGGAAATGTAAGCATTGAAGTTCGCAACGATCTTGAGGTTCGCTACAATCAATACCTATTTATTTGTTGTTTTTTTTTTCTTTTTTTTCATATATCAGTGTAGGCTTCGGTAGTTCTTGAGCTAAATGAACTACTTCATCTCAATGAACTCGTTCAAGAGTTCGGTCATTTCATTGAACTAAATTCGTCAATGCCACAATTTCTCATTTTGGATCGCGATCCAAATATTCTTGGCAACGTATGACGTAAAAACCCATCTTTACAGATACGTTTTAAACAGAGACATAAATTTTATAAGAGAAAAGAATAAAGGTCAATCAATAATCATTATATTAGGATAAATATTTTTCGAGTCATTCATGGACTTATATTATAAAAGTCCTTTCACAATAATTATCAGAGATAAATATTTTTAAGTCTTCAAAGAATTTTAAGACTTATATTATAAAAATCTTTTCATAATAATTGTGAGCGTGAAAAAAATGTTTAAGTCTTAAAAGACAAGACTTGTTCAGGAGCATTTCACGATTAGTTGGAGACCAGTGCGGGGCTAGGTGGTCACCAGTTCGGAAAGTAGTTTGGGACTAGTTGGGGCTCGGTTTGGGACCCGTTCAGGACTATATACAAATTTTTTTTTTTACTCATAACTCAAAAAGACTTTTTTAATAAAGGTCTCAAAATAAAAGTTTTTGAAGACTTAAAAATAATTATCTCAATGATAGCTATCATACTACTATAACATAACTATACACATAACTACATAACTATAGTTATTATGACAAGACTTTTATAATATAAGAGTCTTTCAAGACTTAAAAATAGTTATCGATGACTCAAAAAAATTTCTCACACATAATTATTATCAGAGGACTTTTATAATTCTTACGAAAATTTTGTTGACTCTTCTAAAACTCCATCATGAAATAATTATTATTCTGGGTCTCTGGTTTTAAAACGCTTTTGCATTGTTGCTGCTTCAGTTCCTTGCGCGCTATCTCAGAAAACTTTACAAGAACGCCGTATTTCAGAATTTGATTGAAAAGCACAATACTTCAGAAAACTTTTCAAGAAAGTACTACCTCAGAATTAGGTTTAAAAAAACGCCCTATTATATATAAATATATTCGTCAATTGAACTAAATAAACTATATGAACTAAAGAATTAGTTCACTAACGTGGACGAACTACATTTGAACGGTTCACTCAAAAAACCTAAAGTGCACAACTCTATTGTGTTTTTTCGAGTTATTCTGCATCCATTTGTTTACTTATGATTTCTACCCGCCCCTCGCAGCGGCAGTGGTTTTTGGTGTGATTACGCCTACCTCTCGGCATCCCTTCGAAGCAAATGTAGCCAAGAAAAATCGGTGACACTCTCAGCGGACTCAATGGTCGACACTCGGCGCGCGGCGCTAAACGCTTTCGATATTCGTACATTGCGAATACAAATTGGTTAGTCGCCACTTTCGAAGCGTTTTCGATTATGAACGAGCGTCTCATCTGACGTACCCAAGCTTTCAACCTACATGCTTCCTCCCTCGTCATCTCTCTGAACAACCCGACTGGCCGCCGGTGAAGATTTTTGCGGCGGCGGATATTACAGCAAGCAAGAATTCATTTTGCTCGCCATGAAAATAAACTCAGCCGCTGATAAGATGTCGCAGTGCGGACTAATCTTTGTTATGCGCTTGGGTCTGTATTTATTATACGTATGTATGTATGTATATACGTAGTATGTAGGAATGTAAATATGATTTTAGTATATGTTCGCTATATTTGTTCGCATTCGCAAAATTTTATTCGCTTAGTAGCGGCGCAATTAACTAGTAGGTTTCACTAACAGACACCAGCATTCGCCAGCCGCACAGCTAAATAAACTTACACGATAATTTGTACCAATGTATGTATGTACATACATACATATGTATGTAGTATATTGGCATACTTATAAGTTCATATGTGTATGAATTTCAGTATCTACATTTTACGCTACATACGCTTATTTGTTTTGCAATTTTATTTGCACTACTTGTTATTCCGTCATTGGATCAAAGGGAAATGATAAACACAGAATTCGATGTGATATATAGATACGTATATAAATATACTACTTTCCCCTCACTTGCTTCGCTGAGTGTATGAAATACATACTATGTGCATAAGTATATAGATAACAAGTAAGAAAGTCTAAGTTCGGGCGGAGCCGAACATTAAATNCCACCAGCATTCGCCAGCCGCACAGCTAAATAAACTTACACATTAATATGTACCTATGTATGTATATTGGCATACTTATAAGTTCATATGTGTATGAATTTCAGTATCTACATTAATACGCTTATTTGTTTTGCAATTTTATTTGCACTACTTGTTATTCCGTCATTGGATCAAAGGGAAATGATAAACACTGAATTCGATGTGATATGTAGATACGTATATAAATATACTACATACATATGTGCATATGTAGATAAAAGTTTCCGTACGAGCTTGGGATTGAGTTCCAAACATGTCAAACTATCGAATATGAAAATGGGTATTTTTAAGGAAAGCAAAAAAAAACGGCTGTAAAAAATGTGGTTGTCATTAGGAAAAAGTGTGGGATTTGACACTTTGTTAAAGCCAGTATCCTCTGCTTCTAATAAGACCAGAAATTTGACGATTTGCCAACTTGCGTATCATTCTAAACGCATGCGCAAGGTATCATAATTGCAAAAGAATTTTTGCACATTCGATAGTTTGACATTGTAGCGACGATATATCGATGACTGAGTGGAAGATCGACCTATCTCAGCAACCAGTTCGAAAACGCCCTATCNACGAGCTTTTGATTGAGTTCCAACACTCTACCACGAACACTTCCAGATATCGTCGCTACCATGTCAAACTATCGAATGTGAAAATGGGTATTTTAAGGAGAGCAAGAAAACGGCTGTAAAAAATGTGGTTGTCATTAGGAAAAAGTGTGGACTCGACACTTTGTTAAGGCCAGTATCCTCTGCTTCTAATAAGGGCAGAAATTTGACGATTTGCCAATTTCCGTATCATTCTAAACGATGACAGAGTGGAAGATTGACCTATCTCGGCAACCAGTTCGAAAACGCTCTATCTCAGAAAATTTTTAAACAACGCCCTATTTCAGAATTTTTTTGAAGAACGCTCTATTTTAGAACTTGATTGAAAAACGCCCTATCTCAAAACTCGGTTCAAAAACGCCATATCTCGACTGCCGTTTCAAAAACGCCCTCTCTCAGCACATTTTCGATGTGTTTTCGTTTGAGATAGGGCGTTTTTGAACCGAATTCTGAAATAGAGCGCTCTTCAACCAAATTCTGGGATACAAGTTTTTTTTAAATAAAATCCTGAAATAGGACGTTGTTCTATCAAATTCTGTAGTAGGGCGTTCTTAAAAAGTTTTCTGAGATAGGGCGTTTTCGAACTGACTGCCGAATGGACTATGGTGTATGGTCGATTTTGGCCAGAGCATGTGCTAAGCGACCATTGCTCGCGAGTGAGACAAATTGTCTTTAGAAAATCTGCGGCTCATCGTCGAAAATTTTAAATCATGTTTGGACTTCTGTATCGCCAGTACTGCTTGCCACCATTTTTTCATTCAGAAAATTATATTGTTTTTTGTTCAGATATACAAGGCCTTATTCTGGAAATGGGTCTGGCAGAATATCGTAAATGCATTTCTAGTTGCAAGAGATACAATTATGTCCCCCCCTCCCCCCCGTTGCATATAAAGCCTTATTAAATAATTTGTTAAGACGCTAGACAAGCCTATTTTCCAACGTAGGACATAAGCTATCTGTGTGCAAATCCGTTGAGTCGTTTTTGCATATTAAATGAATGTAACATTTTTAGCGGGTGGCAACTCTTAAGAAAATTATCCATAAGTAAATGGGCCATAAGCTATTTGTGTACGAAATTGCATGCAAATACGTTCAGTCGTTTCCGTGTGATGGTTTCCCAAACATCCAAATATCCAAAGACACAAACATACAAACTTTCACATTTATAATAGGATTTTATCGAAAAATAAATCTAAATTTAACAATTATTCTTCATCGAAAAAAATAAACATTAAAAAATAACGGTTTTCTAATAAAATAAAAAACTGAATATTTAACGGTTATTTTCGGCCCTTTAATTAAATTATTGGTTTCAGCTGCTGATTAGCTAAAAACAATGCAGCTGCGAGAAAAAGAGAGGAAAGATGAAGTCCTCCAACATTTGCAGTAGCTGGAACTTCTTATAATATTGATATTTTTAAAGGATTTTCTTCCATGTTGTGATAAACCTACATACATATACATATATTTCTCTTCATTTTCAACAAAGTTCACAGCATTTTAAACTTTTGCCAAATACACTTTGTCATTACTGTCGCGTAATAGCGACACAAATTCCGATTATAGGTTTTACAGTTTACATAAATCTACCCTTTGAAAATACAAGAACTGCACACAAAACAATTGCAAAGACAATAGAAAAACTATGATGACAGTATTTTATAATATTTATTTATTTAAGCTGCCATGGAAAAAAAACCAAACTCTGACAACAGTCATGCAAATCTACCGCAAATGACGGAATTTCCATTGTAGTGAACAGCAGAGATTTTACATGCAAAAAAAACCAACCACAACAACTACAAATTGCATAGAACTAACGGTTACAAATACTGCGATGCGCAAAAACAACAGAAACCGTAGCAGAAAAGAGTCAATCTCTCGTAGAAGATGATTCCGCATAAAATGTCAAACTAAGCGATTTACATACTTGTGTTGATATTTCACTGTCATCCGCTATGTGCACTGCTGTTTCTTAAGCATTACTGACAGTTTAGCATTACATATGTATACTATACTAGCTGGACTCGGTTGCGCGAGACTTCGCCATGCGCGTATCTGGTGAACTGTTATGAAATAGTTTACTGACTTTGGATGATGGGATGTACATATAAATATCCATGGGGGTGAGAGATCCAAGATTTCAGCAAAACATTTCTTAAATTTTTCGTTGTTTTTTTTTATTATACTTGGGGCAGTGTCTTACGAAAGACATAAACATCAAAGTTCCACACTTTGTGCAAAATTAGAAAAAAAATCTTCAAATTTTCATTAAAAACTTTACCTTTTCCCAAAAATCTAAAACAAAATAACAGTCATTGAATGTCATTTAGAAATATAGAAGAATATGTATGTATATAGATGCAGCTGAATCAAGGCCACGCCCCCCCCCCCCTTTCCAATTCTTTCCAGTTTTCGCCATAAGTACGGTATTGATAACATATGTATGTACATAGCTGTGTTAAATTTCAGGACATTAGCATAAGTGGCTCCAGAGAATAGCGGTATAAGAATTTCATTCTGTATGGGGGATGCCACGCCCCTTTTTCCAAATGCCATAAGTAGGGTATTTACAATTTATGTAGCCATGCCAAGTTTGAGTTCACCAGCGTAGTTGGTTTAAAAGATATATTGGTGCCCTTCAAAGAGGGGTGTGAAAATTTAATTATGAGGTATGTGTGTATAAATACATATGTATAGATATCCATCATTCTACCAGTGTAGAAGATATTTAGGAATATCTCGGTCACAATGCCACCTATTGTGTAAGTTTTTAGTCCAAATATTTATTTTCAATTAGCTAAATACAAATCGGTAAGTAAATGCAGTTTTTAGGAATACCCCGACCCTTGCGCCACCTATCGAGTGCATTTTTATCTCTTTTCAAGGTGCTGACATATGTTCTAAATATGATCCAAATCGGGCCAGCCGTTTAGTAGTTTAGTGATATTAACCGGTCTATTCTGCGCTGGTAATACAATTTTGTAACCGGTGAACATAGTTCCAGTCAATTTTTAAACACTTTTCGCATTCTGTATACTCTTGTAACCGATAAATTTTGTTAACATGCCATAAGCTGGTAACAAAATATTGCCCCGTTGAATAGGCAATGCCAGTATTTCCAGAATTCTTCATGGCTGAATTGCTGAATATTATTATATTTACTGACGTACCTATTTAGAATCGCGGTGACAAGAACTGAGACTATTTGGTATTCAGTACCCTGTCTCACGCCTCTAGTCTCAAAAATAAATTACTAATTTGTCAGCTGGCTAAGAGCAGGTCACAAAAATAAAAATATGGAGCAAAGCATTAGCGCACACAAGGGGTGGGTTTTGGGGTTCAANCGAGGAAATTTGTTCAACAACAATTTCATTAGGAAATAAACCAAAAAAAAACTTTAACGATTGTGTAAAAAAAATAAAACTAACCAAAAATAAATAAAAAATTCTCTACGCCCGAGGGGGACTCGAACTCCGATCTCTCGACCGGCAGCCTAATGCTTTGACCAATTGCGACTCTTTGGGCGGTGCGGGAAAAAGACATACATAAACGCTATCAGTTGACTGTCTGTGTTTGTTTTCCCCACACATTTTTGGTGAACTTTTTGTGCTCCTACTGAAAACCCAAATAACCTCAAGTCACAAAAATAGTCATTTATTGCTAGTCTCAAATTTAGTGACTTGAGATGAGACTGAACTACTGAATCCCAGGGTTCAACAAGCAAAGCTAGTGTTGTGTGAAATGGTGGCCTCTGAAAAAGTAGTGATAATCCCTTTGAGATAAATTAGCTCTTTTGGCTCAATATCAAGCTGATAATAAGCCTTGCAAGTAGTTTGAGAACAGCAGCTAAATCTAGTCCACTTCAAATAGATTTTTTGGTGCCCTTATGTATTAGAACAGTTTAGATATCAAACCCATTTCAAGCCCAAATCAAGCCTTGATATCAAGGGCAAGTGTTGATAAATGGGTTTGCTATCGAATTGCTCGCTATTTGATATCAAGCTTAAATGATTACTGGGAACGTACTCAAGTCGGTTGAACTCAAGAAAATAGACAATTGAAAGCAATCACAAAACATCACCGCGATTACTTAGTAGTAAAGCACGATTGAGATAAATGGAGATTGCGCCAATCGTGGTACCGCGAATCCGCTCTTTGTGATTTTGACAGAATCAGATGTGTGCGTGACGTCATCTTGGTGCAATTGTTGATTGTCAGCATACGAAAAATCCAAATCACAATTTTAATATTCGTGTGTTAATATTTCTGCGTGGATTTAAACAATTATTGAGACATTACAAAGCAAAACGAAGTGTGCAGTGGCAAAGTGTAATAGTGAAAACAAAAGGAATGCGTGCGATATAATTTTTTTTTTCGTTTGCTACGGACGCAATCCTGGCTAAAAAGTGGAAGCAGTTCTGCCGGCGAGGTGATGCATTAAATACCAAATCGAGCTTTGTGCTATGTGTGTGAGCTATGAGCTTCTACATGGAACCATGTTGGCCTTTCCTTGGTGAATTGTAGTAAGTACATAGGTA